AAGGATTCCGCCAATTTATATTATTCAGTTTTATGCATATCTCCTCAGTACTTTCACAGGGCGGAATCATGAGTTAAGGACAGTGTTGAGCATAAGATTACCCGTTGATTACTGATCCTTTTGACCAGCGGCATTAACAACGCCAATGTGACGTAGGTAATTCACAAACGCAGATGCCTCAGACTGTCATGATAGGCTTGGTACTCCCCATGTATTTTACACATGTGAGGAGAAGTCCAGCGTCCGGTCACCAAAACTATCAGCTATTGCCTCATTCCACTCAACTGGCTCCGTGTCAGCGCAGTCCAGCATGCTGCAACACTGGCAGTGCTGTTCGCCATCTGTAAATTTTTTGCGTGGTTTTCCACAAGGTAGACACATTCGGCGGTCCTCCTTGAGCCTGTCTGGCTTAACAGTGAACTGGCAGACACCAACTGCACGTGTCCAGTTTTAAACCAAGGTGTATTAACAATGTACTGATAAAACATCAGTAGTATTCTCCAACATTATAGAGTGTACACATTGGAGGGTTACTGAAAAAGTAGTAGTAGAACTCAGGCCTTTTGACTGGGCTTAGCTTGAGGTAGGTCGACAGAACATCGTGAGAGACGATATAGCTGCCCCCAAAACTGCATTCGAACCCTCGGTTACGTCAAAATAACAATGAGTATGGCAGTCATAATCAGTCCAGTACGTCCGAAGAGAAAGAAGGGCACAATGTAGGGTACGGAGTCTTTCTGGAGGCAAAGCGACACGAAGAAAATAGCCGAAGAGGAAGATTTTGATAACAGGTAATTATAATAATTATATTAGCGGAAGTGAATGTAAAGAAGGGTGGAGAAGGGGCAATTCCGTATCTGTTTTTGCATTTCAGTCAAAAACCGTCACAAGCTAATCTGACCGTCGCTGTCACGTGACTAAATATCCAGAACATCATCTGACAAGATGAAAATCTGCAGCGCGACCGGCATAACGGTTGACACAGGGGTTCGATTACGGACTTCGCTGTGTTCATAGGAAACTTGACCGGGGCATTTCTGCTTTACGGTGACAAACGAGACCGAATTGACTGCTGCAGTATTCATAATATCCACCAGAAACAGCTCTTAATAACAACCGCTCGTAACCGTTAATAGCTGAGCGGGAGTAGTTCACCTAGTCTATACGCCTGCGTGGTTGTGATAGCAGGTATTCCGCGCACCGGCAACCCACAGGTTCTGTATTTGAAAAGCGGGAAGCTTTTTAGTCGTTAAGATAAAATACGAACAGGTGCTTTCTGCATTAAAATGTTTCTTGGAAACGGTCATATAGAAACCATGGGACACAGACTTAGGATTGCATCAGCATTCTAACGTTTGTTTATGCCGAATATTAACTCCTACATCTAGGTTTAATCTGCGTGAGTGATGAAATATTTACGGCGAGCGCTGGTTGAAATTCTGGAATGCGTTTTCGATAAGGAAGGATTACTTAGAGGGGGACTGCAATGATGATTATTATGCAGAATATTCCTATAATATTTCGGACTCGTCGGGATGTTGGATTTCGAAAACACCACTTTTCAACCTCCTATAGAAACTGCACTCTGTAGAAAGTAACTACTCGAGTAGTATGCATTTTTTCACATTACTTTTCGATGGTCTAATAAAATCAAATATTGTCTCAGTTCCGCAAATATTCCCATGTTACACTTGAAAAGTCAAGTTGGCTAACACGTCTTTTCGGTATTTCTTCGTCAGGCCAATACAATTACATGAAGGAGTGAAAGTGTACAAAATTAACAGTGTTTATAGGTGTCTCAAGGGCAATTATGTCATTAACACTCATCTTCCCCACGCCGCCCGCATTACGAGGTCGGCGGGTTTTGGTCCTTAGGGCTGGGGGAGGGGGGTAAGCGAGTTTTTGAGTGATGCACTTGGATTGAGTACACGGAGTACCCATCACTGTAATCAGGGATTTGAGGCGGCATGTCGTCATCACGTGAGGTTGGCATTGGCCACGGCAGAGAGAGCGCTTGTGTCAGGGTTTTCTGACAGCATAGCACCGGATTCGCTGGCCGTATTGCCACTGCCTCGGCCGTTGCTAGTATCCGTTGGCGTGGGCCTTTAGAGAAGCTTGTTGGTGTCCGATAGACAACCTGAAATGCTTCCTTGGCATCGACTCGGTGATCCGTATCGATTAAATGTGCGAGAATAGAACTCGAATCTGATCGGGTCTCGCCTCTGCCTAGCCAGGCGGGCATATGTTCACGCACCCTCTTTACCAGGCGTCTCGTTGTACGGCCGATGTATCCTGCTCCACAGGAGCAAGTGAATGAGTAGATGCACATTGATGTGGCCTC